CAACACCCGCGCCCGACCCGACGCGCCTAAACACTTCAACACTCCTTTCAGATCGTGTTTCACAATAGGCAATTTTTTTAGAAGGCAAAAACTTAGAGTTATATATTAATTGATTTCGTGAATTTTTTATATTGCCAAAAAATATTTATTTATTTTTCGTCATCAATATCAATGTCTGTAAAGAATGTACTGGGCTTTGTTAAGATATTATTAATGTGAACGGTTAATAAGCTTTTAGGTAGTAGAACCAAAAAACATACCAGCGTGTGATTGATGAGTTTCTCGAAATGTTCACCGAAATTAAATTGGTCACAATAGATCATCCTCACACTTGCATGTCGCTTCTTTTTTCAGTAAATAATTTTAATTCATCAACATTTATAAGACAAGTAAAATTAGCGGTTTAGTTTTTTAAAGGGTTTAATTCAACTGTTCCGGATTCAACAGGCCGTTAGTTTAGCATATTTGTTCGAAAAAGACTTACATCCAAAAAATTCTCCACAACTTCTAGGCATCTTCAAAAAGAGTCATACGGAAAGATAAATTTTGGTCACGTACTTCAGCGCAGTAGCTATCAATAAATTTGTACCTTGCCACAGGAAAGGTGTATATCAATAGTTTTCTTTACAATTATACGCATTTCGTAAAAGTTTCCTATTTTTACGCGAATATTTCTCTTATAAAGATCTCTTTGTGGTATACATGGGACAGAGCGTCGCAGAGCCACTCACATTCTTCTGTTTTATAGAACTAGATCAAGAGTCTTCAGCAGTTTCGTAACTAAGGTTACCGAAGCTACGAGTGTGAGAAGAGAGATCGGACTTCGAGTGAACTTACGTGTTGAACTCGCCGGCTAATGGGTGTGGGTGGGCGTGGGCGTGGGCGTGGGTGTGGGTGTCTTTGTGGGTGTCGGGTAGGGTGTGGGTGTTGGTGTTGGTGTTGGTGTGTAGGTATGGGTGACTAAGCAATAATACTCCGATATTTTTACCCGTACACCAACACGCATACTCACACGCACACGCACCCACACCCACACCCATCACCCCATGCCCACACAGCCACAACCACAGCCACACCCATCACCCCACACCCACACCCTAGGTGTAAGTGTACATTCCCTTGGTTCTCATCGACGTCCATGCTTACACCCGCCATGCAGTCATAGCCGTAGCCACACCCCATATATATATATATATAACCATTTTCATGTTTCTTGTAGGCGAACATCTTGTTTGGCAACAATAAACTAGCTGCCACTGGAGATTCCTCTTCGTGCTCATCTGATATAATTGAATACGAAGCAATAGGCCCTATTTCTGAATTTGGAGTTAGCAATACGGTTGTTAGAATCATTGACACGCCTGGATTTGGAGACACAAGGAATTCTATTCTCGATGCTCGGCTCATTGCAACACTCAAGAACTTCTTAGAGTCACATAAAGATTTCAAGAATGGGAAAGTTCCAACCATAGTTCTCATTGTAGCGGCATTTACAGACAAAAGATTCGATGGCGAAAATTCTGCATTTGTTAAAATGTTGAAAGGATTATGGAGTATGAAAGAAAATATATTTGACAAGAAACATTCCAACGTTATACTACTACTCAGCCATTTAATGGGTGAAACACCTAATCTCCGGCAAAATCCTGAAGAAAAATGCAAGATGTTTGCCAAAGTTGTTGAACAGTTTACTGAATTACCAAGACCAATTGTTACAATTTTGGCAGAAAATAAAGGAGCAGATTATAAGTTGAAAAAGGAAAACGGTTACTTTAAGTTGCCGAATGGTGATTTTTACCCACATAACTTATTTGGTGCCATTCAATCTCTTACTTCGCATTCTGGAGATGATATGGAAGAAGCAATAATACGCGCTGCATTCAAAGACATCAGCAAATTTACGCTTAAACCAAAGCTTGTTGTAGAACTACTATCCGATGGAGTACAATCTGTGAAAAATGCACAAATGGTCATTGACAAAATTCAGTTCCAGATTTCAGCGAGTCCGATAATGGAAAATTTAGAACAAAGTTGGAAAAATATGAGCTCATCCATACATGATAATTATCCAGGTACACTCTTGTGTGTGCAAAGAGTCTTTGAAAGAAAGAAAATATATACAATGGAAAATTTACCACAAACTAAAAAAGATATTGTTAGCCTAATGAAGGAAATTCCAGCGAATAATGTTGTTCCACAACTATTGGAACAAGCACTGGGAATTGAAGTTCCCAAGCTAAACATTTCACTTGTCACCGGTCAATGTTACAATATAATTAACGACTGTACGGTTCCTATTACCATTTTTAAATTAGAAACCAATTATACTTTATCTCCAATTGGTTACTTAATGCCTTCAGATATCAAATGCGAATTAAATCCTGAAATAAAAGATATTTGTGAGTTTTTCAGGTCTAACGCCGAATACATCGCGTCTCGACTAAAAGACCTCAATGTTGCTGGGAATATCAACGTTAACAATCATTTGTTCAATGTTACTGCTCGAGTTGGTGGGGACTACAACGTCATTAGCACAAATGTTGATTGTAATAAGTTCACTAAATTCGCTGCACTACGCGAATATCGACAGTTCAGACTAACCTTAGTAAATGATGTCGATTTAAGTCAAGAATTCACAGCTGCAGTAGACAATTTACCGACGTTTGCATTGAAAAAGTTAGAATCTGTGAATAAATTCAAGGCATTCTTTCAAAGATTTGGAACTCATGTTGTGACATCGTGTTTTGGTGGTGGAGCAATGGAATTCGCAGTCTCCGTAGAAAACAAGGAAACACTCAAATCAATAGAGGATATACGTAGATTTGCTTCACAATTAAGAGCAGATTTTGGAAATGTGTTTGGACTAGGCATTGATTCCACATATACCGGTGGCTATCAAAATGAATCAAGAACAAATCTGTCGGGTACAAGCTACAATGCCACCTTGAAAGGTGGAGATATGACATACCATATTCGAAATTTGACCCAATTATCATCTGATAAAGCTTCTGAGCATATTGAAAAATGGGTCCAATCTTTGTCTGTACAACCTTTGATGCTAAATACAAACATGCATCTGATGCCCTTGAGTTATTATGCTCGAAAACACAATCCAAATGCAGGACAACAGATTGATCTGGCCTCCCAAGAACTGTTCAAAGACAATTTAAAATATGTACCTGTGTCAACACGTACACCGCCACCGCCAAGACCTGATGTACCACCTCCACCGCCACAACAAAGTAGTGGTTGTTTGAAAGCTGGTACTTTAATACTATTATCAGACGGATGTAAATTACCAATTGAGATGATCCATTCAGGAGACATGATATTGGATATTAATTTGAAGCCTTGCAAAGTTATTGGAGCTAATCATATGCTTATGAATGGCAAAAAATTCTATGGATTCTCTAAAAATAACTGCTTCTTTACGGGTGGTCATATTTTTGCACGGAGCAAATCAAATGAATTCGTTGTTGTATCAAAACAAGAACTCTTAAAAGATAACCCTTTCGTCGATGAATTAAACGTTGTTGAAGTACAACCTGGTCAATCTATCGAAGTAATGAAAATAAAAAATTACACTAGCACGAAAGATATTGTTTGTGAAAGTGTAACAGTTTTTAAAGATCCAACACAATACGATGCTGAAGTTCCTGTATATTTCTTAATTGTTGAGAACGAAACTGGTACTTACATTGCAAACGATTATGTTTGTGGTCATGAGTTACCAAGATTTGAACGCTGGCCCAATACGCTGGCCTGTCTTCAAAAAATTTTCACTTCAAACGCTGTAAAGCGAAACTCAGTCGGTGAAAAATTGTCTCCATTGGCAATAAGTGAAATGGAGAAAACAGTAGATCACATTGCTAAACAACTGGGGAAAAAATTCTCTTCAAAGTCTGACACATTTTTTAATGATATGACAAATATAGAACCTGAAGGCATTTCAACGGAATTTATGGCGGCTGACTTGTCACTTTATTTGGCAACAATGATGGAAATGCTTCACGATAATTATTGGTCTACTTTTGCGATGTTGATTTATGGTCGATGTGGTAATTTAATACGTGACGTTCTAGATAATCAAAAACAGAAAACAGTTTCAAGTTCTGTGCTGCTGACTTTATAATTAGGTCCGTTGAGACCTTTTCTATAAATAACTGATTTCTTTTTTTTTTATTGAATTTGTATTTCTAATCATGATTCTAATAAAACTTATATCCAAGATTAGTAGTGTTATAGTAACTGTGAATGAATATTAGATTTCTCATTCGCCAGTTTCTTTTATATCGTCAATCGACGAGCAGCGAAATATAAATTGAAGAATGTAAGAAGAGGGTGTGCTCTGAAAAAAATGAAGGAGGTTTGCAGAACGTTTTAGCCCTCTAAAAGGTTCTATGTTTTACTCGATAGCAGAACTTCTGAAAAAGGGTTCTAGACAAGAAAAAGTAGCTCTGAAATCCTCGTCGAAATCTGTTTTTCTTGTTCAGAACCATTTTTCAGGGGTTCTGCTATCGGGTAAAAGACAGAATCTTTTAGAGGTTCAAAAGGTTCTGCAAACCTCCTTTATTTTTTTCAGAGTGGGTGGTGTGGGGGTTTTGGGCGTGGGTGTGGGGTGTGTGGTTGTGGGTGTATGAGTGTGCAGGGTTTGGTGTGGGTGTGGGTGTTGGTGTGGGTGTGCGCGTGTGGATGTGAGTGTTGGTGTGGGTGTGTGCGTGTGGATGTGGGTGTTGGTGTGGGTGTGTGCGGGTGGGTGTGGGTATGCCTATACATTGGATGTACCGACACCCACCCCCCCAGCCACTCAGGGTGTGG